CATGTCACTGAAACATTGTCTATACAGCAATATGATCCGGGCTGGTCGTATTCAGCTATACGGTCGAAGTCCTACGTACATGTAGACTTATGTGACACGCCGAGAGCTTCATACGTGTACTCATAAAACTTAAATACCCCACGATAACTCGGTAATTTAGCCCCGTGAAATCCATCGTTTCTGATTGTACAATGTTGTTTTTCACGTCCAATAAATAGGTTGAGAATGCATTTTTTTTATAAACCTGTTTTACTTTACAATATAGCTGTATATTTCATAAATTGTGTTGCATAGATGATCACCAAACCTTGTTTGTACGTGCGCTCAGGTATATATAAATCGGTTTTTAATGCATATACTTTCTGTTGATATGTATATTAAATGTTCAGTTTAGGGGAACTAAAGGTGAAACCTGCACTTGACGGGGAGGAGACTGATGTGAGACTAGTTATGAGAGGAGGGAAAGCAATTCCTGAAGGTTTTCTAGAAAGTGGTGATAAAGGTCAGGGACCTTCTCTACCTACACTAGATTTAATTAAGCTCATATTGGTGATCTATCTAAACAAAGGAATGATGACATATTGTGTTTAAAATCTACTTTTTAGACTCAAAGTGCATTTCAGTGACTATTCAGTCCATTTGTACTGGCCTAAGGAGGGTCTTTCTGTGGATGTCAAAGTGTTTACTGGAGGTAGAAGGTGAGGCCAAAATGTGTAGTGATGTGATATGAGTATTGAGATTTTCCTTGGCCAATAAAATGATGGGAAATGAACAGTTGTTTATAATCTACAAAAAAAAACAGTATTGAATATAGGAATAACATATTCTGTGCCTTAACTAAAATGCCTGTTTTGTTTTCTGAAAATGATGTTTAACAAATATTTGAGAAAAACAATCACTAAATTAAAACAGCAAGATTTTGAAGTTTTTCATTCAAATGAAAAATGGTACTGTTGGAACAAGTGACCTCATCAACCTCACATATTTACATCGGGAAAGTCTGAGGCTAAGTATATTAGCATTTTCAACTAAAATAAAATAGTCAAATACTTATTACACAGGATTGTACTGTACTGAGTGATTGTTTGGTGAAGTGGATAGCGCACTTGCCTTTCACCAAGGCGGCCGGGGTTCATTCCCCAACCAGACGTGAACAGATATGGGGTCACCTGCACGATCACGTTGGTTTTCTCTGGGTACCAAGTTTCCTCAAATAACCCCCCCCCCCCCCCAAATATAAGCTGAAATATGTGCTGTTTCATATTCGTTGTATTTTTAAATATAATCTCTTCAATACTTTAAAAACTCGTTGAGCTGGGCATGACTGACATTCAAAGTTGCGACGTAAAAGACAGTGACCACGCTTGCAACGTCATATCTTGCACCACTTTATTTCATGTATGTCATGGTCATTACAAAGTGGTATAGATTTGTGAACACTGATTCAAGTTTTTATTGTAAACATAATTTTGTCACAGCTATAACCGGAATAATATAATATGGAACCCTATTTGTTTACATTTCAATATTTGTGTATGACTTAATAACATATTTAATTATTTCCGTTTAAATGCACTGCAATTTCCCTTCTGGAGTGAAGCCAGAAATAAGCAGTTAAAATTAATATACATATATATGTTACCCGCCGGTATCAATCTTAAAAGTAACGTTAGAAATTATGACGTTGCAAGCGACGTCAGAAGTCATATAGCATACTTTCTTTAAAGTGGCGTCAAATCATCAAATATTGAAGGGCTGACATATTCTTCATATCGTTTTGATCAGAAATGTCTCTAGATTTCGAAATCATTAAAATCACAAAATTATTTTTTTTACTACTGGAGGACCCTAATCCCAGCAACATTCGTTAAGGACATTCCAATATGGCTGTCACACCAAACTATATATCAAATTGTATAATGCATTCCGTTAGCATTAAACAATCCCTGTCACAAAAAAATCCTCCAACATAATTGAGGTACATGCACACTAAATTTTAGAAAAAACAAACATTTTAACTGATGAAAAAAATAACTTTTTATATGTTCATTGTCCAAGCTGAATAAAAGTCACCATTCAGGAAGAAACCCCATTTAAACTTGTGAATATCATAAGGTTGGATGTCCATGGAGTTGCATTAGTCGAGAAAAATGTGAGAAAATGCTTCAAATCTCGAGAATGATGACATGTATTTTGATTGGATATTTTTTTTACAATAATTCATCAAGCTAACAAGCCTTTTGATACAAGTCAAGCCATATTACCTGAGTGAAAACCTGTAGTGCATGGTGTACAGGTAAAATCTCACTTGCTTTGCATGCTTTTTCCAGCCTCAGTTAGCATTGTTCGCTTTATGCTGAGTTGTGATTTATTCAGGGAAATATATGCCAATATTCTGGATATTTGACACGTTTTCTTACAATTTTCTCGACAAATTTATCTCCATGGACATCCAACCTTATGATATTTACAAGTTTAAATGGGTTTTTTTCCTGAATTGTGACTTTTATTTAACTTGGAAAATGGACACATAAAAAGTGAGTGTTTTCATCAGTTATTGAATGTTTTTTCGAAATTTAGTGTGCATGCATGGGAATGTCGATGTCGATTTCATCCTTTCAGATAGCAACCTTTTTGCCCACCACAAGTGGATACATATTGCAGCAGGCTCATACTACAACTAATTACACTTGCCGATCTCAAAGTTACATTAATAAAAATGGATATCATGACTATAAGATAACCATTCAAATGTATATAATCAGGACTCAAGTCTGTCCGTCTGTCAACTTTTCTTTTCTCATATGTGAATGGCTCCGTCAATTTTGACGATTATGCCAGGTTTTTTAAAAACGTGAAGAAAGGAATAGTGGAAGTGTTGTTTTTAGTTTTGTAATTATTTTAATGGTTAGGATAAAAGAGGGTTAAAAACTATGACTTATTGTGCAAGAGTAAGGACGTCAAGGTCTGGGTAGGGTATATGAGCCTTGACGTCCTTTGGTGTTGTGTATTGTACTGCTGCTTCCAGTAGGAGGTTCCAATGTGTGATAGTGTAAGGACCTAATCATGTCTTTGTATGTATGTTCTTTTATATGATGTTAGTGTTTTTAGGTGGCGTTTTAGGAATCGGAGTGATTTGTTTGCGTTGTTAGTGATGTTGTTGATGTAAGTGTCCGATATAAGATTGCTGTGTAGTGTTAACACTTGGTATTTACTGGAGTCTACTTGTTGTCATGTGTGGTTTTGTAGTTTGTATTTATAGTTTTGATTTGGTGCGTTTGTTTTATGTTGAGATAAAAATGCACTTGTCTGGATGAAATTGCACGAGCCAGTTTTGCTCCCATTCTCCTGCTGAGTCTATGTCCTGTTAATTGTATCTATTAATTTGCATGTGCGAAGAGTTTAAGAGTTCCATAAAGTGCTGATCGACCTAGGGACAATATTGTCCGATTTGTATCTTATCGCACCCGAGCTTCAGTCTACGAGGCAAGATTCAACCTCATCAAGTCGAACCACCCAACTTTACCAGACCGCCGGCACTCTATATAAACGAAGCACTGATGAAACCGCGGGTTGAAGAGTAGAGTTAGGCCCTATGGTTAAAAAAGAACAAACACATATATGGTGCGTGGACCATTGACGATCGCGTTGTTATTCGCGATTACCGCCATTGAAAGGCAGTGACCTTTACAGCTATCCCGACCCCACTCCCCGTCGGGCCGAGCCCATGACTCTTGCTCAACGCGTCTCCATGTCGGCACCTTCCAAATAGACTATATGTATTTGACAAATGAATACAACTTTGAAGGAAGTTTTAGTCTGATATATTGCCAATATTATATGTTTCCTAATGTTTGAAAATAATACTATTTAATTTCACAGTGTTATTAGTAAATAAATCGTAGCATTAGTTCATTACAAGATTATAAATCCTCAAACTCAAAACAGCCAATAATAATCAGTATTTTTACTGCCATTAAATTACCGTGATTGAAATACGTTTATTAGCATCAACTTTCTTATACCGTAATTATTAGCTAATTCATGGGAGCAGATTTATTTTTATCCTGTGAAGCCTTATAGGGTCTCAAATACAGATTTTATATTACATATTTCATAAATGTACATGTATGTCGAAAATAATATCATGTAAATATATCTCAGAGAACAGTTATTTCCCTTAATATATTTCAATGCAATATGAGTCTCTTATCTAGTTTACGAGTCTTGGATTACTAAAAAAATATACCAATATTGAATTGACATATTCCGTCTTTGCGTATTGCAGAGTTATCTTCTCTTGTGAGCAGGTATTGATTGTTACGTCATTGGTTTGTGTGAGAAAATTACGTCGTTTTCTCAAAAATTGATGACGTTACTCTCACAAACCAATGACGTAACAATCAATNAATTTAGGAGTGGGACGACTGGTTCGCCCGTTATCAGTAAAATGGGACCGGGTGGGGTGTTATGTGGGGCAGTATGTTTCAATGAGATAGCACTATAAAGTCGGCATCAGTTCCGCGCTATCACAATGAAACAAACACAAACATATCGCAGCCTTCCGAAACACACGCATATACTACACGCATTCATCTTGCACACATGAAAGGCCAAAAGTGAGGCATTGTCAAGAGAGACATTAGGAAAAAGAAAGTTATTTAGAAAGAAGAGAAAAGATAAGATCCCAAATTTAGCCGCCTCTTACGATCATGCAATGGAGGCAGCAGGTACAATTCTTACGCCCTTCATGCAGGGGCTCTTTATCACAATACTTTCATTACACTGGTTGATCATGCAAGATGTGAACAGCTCGGTAAATAAGGAAATGACCCGTGGGGGACCATGTATTGCATTGCAATACTTTGCCTTGTTCTATATAGCAACTCTATCCGAAAAGGTATTTCTTGTGCAATTAAGAAGATGATTCAAAGTGGTTATTCGATTAGTCGTGCGATAATGCATGATATATGTTTTATATATGTGTTCATTTGTTTCAGATACAACCCCAGTGTAAATGCTGTAGCAACCGCATCACATCTACAGTTATGGTAAGATCAGTTCTTGTTATGGACAATAGTCTATCCCTCGATCGACACACTCCTGTAGATCGGGGATCGAGAACACAAAAGACCCAGGGGGCCTGTATCACTCACCTGGATAATTAAGCAACCATGAACAATTTCTCAATAAACGTAAAACTATTTCCAAATATTGGCTTGTCTCTAAGCAACACCGCTTCCTCATTGGGTCCTTTCTTTCTACGCCAATGAAGTGGGATTGATTTAAACATTAAAGTAATTTACCCCTATTGGGCCCGTCCCTCTGCCAAACGGCAACATCTTTCTTCTTTCTGTAGCTAGGATGCCATTCACCGATTTCAGATTCAATTGAATGTAACTTGTTATCTACGCATTGATTCAAATTATTTTGCCACTGTAAGCTTGTAAATGTTGTAATTAGTGGTTAAAATCAGTAAAATGAAGTTTCAAATCTTCAGGTGGTAGTAATAATGCTGCTTTTGCGGCACGTTTTGCCTCTTTATTACCTGGTATTCCCGCATGTCCGGGAACCCAGCAAAAGGTTATTTGACATATTTAGGCAACAGCATGTAATGATGCTAGGATTTTTAGAATGGCGATATTATTAAAATTTATGTTGCGAAGGCTTTGTAGAACAGATAGAATGGAATCAGATAACTGACTGTGGTACATCATTTGATTTAATGTGCTCAAGGCCGAGATAGATAACATGCGCTTCTGTTGAAAAAATTGACGCATCATTGGGCATCCGGCATCCAACTGTAGCATCTTTATGGTTATCTTTCGAACCGTCCGTATAAAACGACTCAAAGTACTGAAGGAGATGGATTTTGAAGATTTACCTCAATATCCCATATTGAGCCGCGCCCCTTTTCCACAAAAGTGGTCACACTCTCCGTTTATACAAAAAAAGTTCTCTAAGCCCTAAAATGCTCTGGACCGAATTCGGTTAAAATCCCGACAATGAAATAAAAGGAGAAGGATTATAAAAAAATTACCTCAAGTTCGATACCCTGTCTCCAGGACACATACACACAAGCACGCATAGACAACACATATGGAGACATGTCCTTAAATTACATTTGCTGTTAATAAGACGCTAAACAAATTTAAACCAAACCCCTTTTGGACACCGCCCCTCTGACACAAGGGGTGCCACACCCTCTGTGTATACACAATTGAGTTCCCTTCGCCCAAGGATGCGTTGTTATGGACCAACTTTGGGTAAAATCCCTTCAATCGTACAAAAGAAGAAGGATTTTAAAGATTCACCTTAATTTCCCCTATACTCCCTCTTTTACTAGGTAAACCACTCCCTCTGTTTATACAAAATTAAGTCATCTTTGCCCAATTATCGATGCTCCAGGCCTAATTTAGTAGAAGTCCACTGAACCGTTCAGAACAAGTAGCGTTTTAAATAAAAAGTTGACGGACGCCGCGTCACTGCAATAACTCACTTGATTTCATTTTTTGTATCATGCTCAAGCATGGATTTTGTGCACAGGCCTATTTTTTTGTTCTTGTTATAACTTAACAAATGCATCTTATTTTATCAATAATTTTGAAACATTTTGAAGAGACTTAAAGCCAAATACTATTTTCAATATTAACATTTGACTTTTTGATCGTTTGACATGATCTAAGCGAGTAACAAAATAGTTGGTTTCAGCGCAGAATACATGCCTGAGCATAATAACGGTTTCGTGAATACCGACCCAGGTGAGCAACAGAACCGTGGAGCCAAAGTGTTATCGAAGGAGGCGGCTAATGGGGGAACCCCTACATAATTTGTGTTTTATATCTTCTTCTTGGGAAGAAATAAATCGGTTGCACCCATTGTTGTACTTACCTAGTCCGAAGGTTCGTCCGTCAACGATTTCTTAAAACGACATCTTAACCGCTGAGTAGAATTTGACTGGAAGCAGTCTTTAGAGGGAGATTTAACATTATAATACTAAAGAGGCTAATTAGATATCGGCCAGGTTTTGTTTTTGTAGTTGTATTGTGTTACAGCCAATCGACTTTGCAAGTCATTTATGACCAAACAACACGTTAAAATAGGCAATCACAAAAATGAAAACATCAAATCAGAAAGGAAAATGTTTAAAAGTTGTAAAAAAAATCAACAAGAAACAAATTGGTTGTAACTCATATCAGATCTTATTTTATAGATTAACTGAGTGTAAATAATCAGATACATATTGAACAGTAACTGTGTCAAATAAACTTTTCATGCACGATCCATTATAGAATCTGTCATGTGTTTGTTTGAAATCAGCGCATTCAATCATAAAATGATTGTAAGGGACATGCATGACAATAGTGTTGCTCTTCTTTATGTAAAATGTAACTATGTGTGATGTAGGTATGGCCTATGCGCAGTCGCGAGAGGACAACCTCCTCTCTAGACGCTAGGAAATAAAAGGTAGTTAGAAGTAGAAGGAAATATAAAGATACCAACTATTGCAATGTGTGCAGCAGATATGTTTTGGTCGCATTGTGTTCCCAAGCCATATAGAGGGCATAAAAACAAATCTCCAGTTCTGCAGGGGGTTATAATTGACTTAGGGGTGTTGCCCCAGTCCTGGGGACTAATTTCTTGGGCAATAACTGTCAAACGGTTAAGATCTCCACTCCATAACCATATATATATACCATTGCCGGGAATCAAGAGACGAACACAATCTGGGTATTAAAATTGACCCTGGTGCCTTGCCATACCCATTTGAACTCAATTTCTGGACTTTTGTCTTTAAAATGGTTGAGATTCTCAACCCAGAGCCATATATTCCATTGCTGCACTGGAAGATCTAGTTTAGCGATAAAGGCCCTCTGGACCTCTTTTTTCAGTAGTTGTAAAGGATTTGTAAGAAAAGCTGTTATTATTGAATGTTTTAGCTCATCTACTACGAACGGAATTATCTTAACCAAAGCAAAACTGTTTCCCTTTAGTTTACATACATACATGCTATATGTTGTGGATTTTTTCTGTTTTTCTTTTTTAGTTTCTTCATCGGTGGATTGCTATTGTAATAGTTTCTATTATAATTATATTAACTATTATGTATATCCAAAGGGAATCACTTTTCATGTCTACACATGAAAACCTGCATCAAGGATATATAAAAAATGGCAAAAAACTCCCGGATGTTGTTGACGTACCGATACTTCCTTTGAATGACAAACGAGACGTGGTAAAAGAAAGGTCAAGGACAGCTGAAGATAGGGCGGTACAAGAGTTTTTCCCAGAGGATCGTACTCTTAGTGGATATATAGTGTACGACTGTAGCACACAACATTCTGGTTTATGTGGCGGATGGTCGGATAGAATGTCAGGAATACTTAGTACCTTTGGCATAGCAATTATATCCCGTCGCCATTTTAAGATCAATCATGATAAGCCGTGTGCCTTTGACAACTTTCTTGAGCCAAATAGGTATAACTGGACATTTGACAAATCTGAAATACCAACGAACTCTGATTACATGTACTTAATTGACAATAACTCTAAAAATCTCAGGGTTCTGTCTTTGAAAACAAAACATCTAGAAAATGCTTTTAAAACAAATGTAACTTTCATACGAATGAACTGGGATATGACACTGGATTTTAGAAAACGACCAGATATCGCAGAAGACTTTCCGTGGGTAACAAAACTTCAGTATGCTGATATATATTACGGATTGTATCATTACCTCTTCAAGCCCGGTAAAACGGTTCTACACGAATTCGCTAACTTACAGAAAAGGAGGAAGCATGAATTATTAGCATGTGCTCATGCACGTGCAGGAGACCCTGGTAGTAAGCGGCGAGATTTTTCATATATTTGGAAGTTTCTCTCGAAATTAGACCGGTCGAAATATGATATTTTCATAGCCTCAGATCAGCAATATGTTCGGGATGCTGGCATTGACTCGCTCGAAGGATATGATGTCATTACCACGCCGGGTGTATTAGGGAACATGGACATTGGTTCAGTTGGGTGTGACGTGTTAATGACAGGTATGGTGGACTTCAACACCCTGACGACATGCGACCTGCTTGTGATCACTGACAGTGGGTTCAGTATATTATCGGCTTATGTAAGAGGCACCTCCGACAATCTGTACTGTATGGGAGATAATGATGTGTTCCCTTGCTCCCGAAACACACTAGAAGATATTTATCCAGGCAACATGCTTGCTCCACGATTACAATGACGTATTGAATGAAGCAACGACTATGCGAAGGGCAAATATACCTTCAAACAGTGAAAATTACACTCTTTGTGTCACTGTGCCTTATTTGTCTTTAAATGAAAAACGCAAATTAAGACACACGGAGTTCCTTTACGAAAATATTGAGTCTCTGGCATGCTATTGCTGCGATATCGCCGCGTGTTTAGATTTCGTATGCAAATTAGGTTTCCGGCGATATAGCCAGAATGTTCTGGTTTACTTGCGGAACGATATAGACAGAATGTTCTGGTGCACTTGCGGGACGATATAGACAGAATGTTCTGGTTCACTTGCGGGACGATAAGCAAGATTGGTATTCCAACAATCAGAAATATATGACAATATTGCAACAGGGTTTTGGAGTATATAGTTTAGATTATAATTCATAGCTTATATCGATCAGATATTGGTTACAAAATTCAACATATATGTATACATATTATTTCACAATGTAATATTTGTTAAAAATATTTATCAATAATGTAAATATATTGTATAAGTAGGAACAATTTTATAAGAAACATGCAGTGCTGTATAGAAGCAACATGAACTTCTGTACGGATATTACAGCAAGACATGAAACAAGATTTTGATATGATGTACTACACTGCTAGATCATAACTGGTACATATTGTAGAATTGTGTACGACACAATTTAAACTTGATATTGTTGCAGGAAAATGCACTACAGTTCATTTAAGATTTTACATGTTTTGTGATCATGGATTATGAAAAAAACAGAAGAAAACATAATTTACATTATACCTTATAAGACTCGAAACATCACCAGAATATGTTATCTGTTGTGCACTTCTGGCGATGTTCTAGTGACATTCTGCTGATATGAAATGTGTGCCAGAACATTACCAGAATGTCACCGCTAGCGGCGATCTGGCAACATGTTCTGGCGAACTTATGTGTGCGTCGCGATATAGCTGCAAACTTTTCTATTTCTGTAAGGGTTTTAATCAAAATGGAAAATAATTCTTAGTTAAAGATATTTGTCTATCCACGTTAAATATGCGTTTGTTTCTTTAAAGGGACTATAATGGTAAAAATGACTGTTAAAAAATATCATAAAAAGAAACAATTGAAAAAAATACCACCAAACTTACACTTATTGAAAGTGACTGCCAGTATATTTGATAAATGCTATGTTCTTTTGAAATCAAATTCTTCGCATGCGTTTATCCGAGAAAGAAAACTAACATTTTTATTAACATGGCGAAACTGCGAAGCCAGATGGAGTCTTTCATGACTGAGAAAGTACATAAGCTAGAATGGGGGGATACATACCTTGTAAAAGCAAGCCAAGAAGTTACCTTAGACATGCAGCCGATATATCTAGAAACAGACAAAACAAAGATTGATTCCGACTTTATAGCCGCCATTTACAGTAGGTGAAGCTACCAAACACGCAGTGAATGTCATGATAGAGTGACGATTATCCAATCTTGGGGCACCATTAGGGATAATTTAGCAGTGTTTCACGCAATTAAAGAAATGAAAATAATGCATTTTTAAAAAATGAAACTAGTCGCCAGTATAAAAAGTGTATTTTTGAATTTAACGCATATCATGTGTTTGTGTTCCAGAAGCTATTGATGTCATCTTGCATTCTTGAGGAGAATGTGCATTCCAGGAACACATAGGTTAGCACGGGCTTCAACCTCCCGGTCATTTAAAGTTTGTTTTGTTTTCTGTTACAAAATATCAGAATTATGATGCATCATTATGTTGTATCAAACACATCTGCGAGCAAATGCACACATACTTACAAGATGTAAACATTTGAAAAGGTTACTAAACTGATATAAGTAAAAATCACAAAAAGTCCGTTTACTCTTGCGTCTCAATGTTTTTTATTACTGCTAACAGAACTTGGGCCTCTTAAAAGCGTCAATGCCATCACGCTACATGTTCTTAAAAGTGCTTAAGATTGCTGATCCCGTATCTTAGATGCCAGAAACCATAGCCTATTCATTTGTTCTGCTTTTGGAATGTTTTACCTCCTAACCTACAAAATTGTCTCATCGTATATTCTTTATTAAGCAATAATATAATACTTCAACATTTCATAAAATGTTATTCCATCATTTTATGTCCCTCTTCTCTTTTGTCTAAGGGAACTGTTGTAACCTTCGTATTCGATAGTCGCTAAAATAGATAAATAAAATTTAAGACCGCTAATACATTTTGCTATCTCGAATAAATACTACGGTTTGCAGAAACAGTAAAGAGTAATAAAAGTAATGTTGATATTTCAACTGGCTCTGGTATGCTGATCGGGATGTGGTATGCTGATGTACTAAGCCAATACATTGTATAATCCGCTAATATTTGTAAGAATACCAATGTATACCATTTTGATAGAAATCAACTTTCATTGAAGTGACGCTATTAGAGAAGACATCGAAAACATTTTCATACATTTTAGGATCCCTATCCAACTGCACTGTTTACTTTCGTCAATACAGTGACCTCTCCTTAATTTTGTTTTGGGTATAACTGTATCACATCTGGACCAGTACACGTACGTTAACCAGGTAGCTTAGTATGTTGGAACGATAGATATGAATCTGAAATGCAGGATTCGAAAAACAGAAGAGCCCTGGTGATCTTTTTGCACTGGAGGATACTGCTTTTTGTTAGATTTTGTTTATTATTTTTCATTGAAACCTCACAAGGTATGGTTTTCTTTTCAATTTGGTTTGGTTACGTATTGTTTAACGTCCTATCAGCAGCTAAGGTCATTTAAGGACGGCCTCCCCTGTGTGCAAGATGCATGCGTGTAGTGTATGCGTGTGTTTTGGGAGGCTGCGATATGTTCGCGTTTGTCTGCTTGTGATAGCGTGGAACTGATGCCGACCTTATGATTCACAAAGATTAATCCATACCTCATAAAAACCCTGTCCAATACGTAGTTAGTTTTCGGTAGTAATGTGTGGGATATTTAAGGACATTCATTACCCCCCTTTCAGATATACAACTAAAGTTTTTTTGGGTTTTTTTTACCAACAATTATCAATCATTTACATAGCATGTATGATTGTAATGCTCATGATGATGATGATGATGTTTGTCACTGTGTATGGGTGATGATGATGATGATGATGATTGTACATAAGATGATGATGATGAAGATGATGATGAAGTTGATTGTCAATGTGTATGTACGATGATGATAAGATGATGATGATGATGATGATAGTACATACGATGATGATGATGAAGTTGATTGTCAATGTGTATGTACGATGATAATAAAATGATGATGATGATGATGATGATGATGATGATGATGATGATGATGATGATGATGATGATGATGATGATGATGATGATTGTCAATGTGTATGGACGACGACAACGATGATGATGATGATCATCATCATCATCATTGTCAATGTGTATGGACAACGACATCGATGATGATGATGATGATGATGATGACGTGTATAAATTACTAAGATTGAGAAACGCATGCTTCTGTCTACAGGTGAGAGTTTGTGTGTAATGTATGATTGATGTAAATGTAACAAAAAAAATGAAAAAATAAAACAATATAAAAAAAAATTGATTGTAATGCTCTGGGAGAATCGCTTTTGATAATTATTTGGTTATGATCGGTTTTATATTTGTTGTATGATAAGTCTATAATTACCACTAGTAACAAAATATTGGACAATGCTTTTCAGTAAGTTCTATAAGACTTCCTACTATGTTATGATAATGCTATTAACATTTAACAATTACACATTATTTTGTTATGTTATTTATTGATATGTTTTTTTTAAATGATGTACATTAATTAGTGTGGGATCTCTATTTTTTCGGTTCTTGATTTCTTATATATTGCTTTGTTTATCAAATAGATTTTTAAATACGTTAAACCGTTGTTGTTATTGTCTCTAAAACTCATAAATATGTAGCAATTTATTTGTACAATTATTTTCGAAACTTCGACAGAAAGCGAAGAGGTTGATTTGAAAGCTGAATAGTAACGTTCAAACACATGTTTAACAATATGTCACGGCTGTCTATGTCAAATCGTATGATGTTCTTACGACAGCCGTATGACAACTTCCAATCTGACTACGATCGTTGCAAGAACGAAACAGCTGTAAGACAGTCCTATGATGCTGAGTTTTCAAAGGGCAATCATACAATGGTGACATGATTATTGTTACCTCAGCCAACGAAGAATTCCAAATCATAAATTCGTGGTTCTATCATAACACGGTCGTATAGCTTGGCTGGCTAGACCTACTAGTCTGTCCGTCTGTCTGTGGACAAAATATTGTACCTCCTTAGTCTCCTAGGTTGATGCATGTATTTTGATGAAACTTTGCACACATATTATACCTCAAATGAACTTGTATCTCTGTGAACGTCATTATGTTCCTTCAATATTTATCAGAGTTATGACCCTTGACTTCTATAGGTGCTACATTACGTTACTGAAGTAGCTAATTGTCTCGGAAACGGTAGGTATTTTGTATACACATATACATTGGAATGTTGTAGACAGAAATGAAAGATACTTTCTACTGACACACTTCTGAGGTCATGTGCACAAAGGTCAGGAATGAATTACATTACTGAAATGGCTACTTATCTCGGAAATGGTAGGTATTTTGTTTACACATATACATTGGAATGTTGTAGGAATTAAAGAAAGCTACTCTGACAAACTTCTAAGGTCATGGGGTCAAAGGTCACGAATGAATTATGTTACTGAAATGGCTAATTATTTCGGAAATGGTAGGTATTTTATATACACATAAATATCGGAATATTGTAGGAATGGAAGCTACTTTACTGACAAACTCCCAAGATTGTGGGGTCAGATGACAAAGGTCACGGATGAACTACGTTACTGAAATGGCTACATTGTAATTATCTCGGAAACGGTAGGTATTTTGTATACATTGGAATATTGTCAAAGGTCAAAGGTCAAAGATCACGAATGAATTACGTTACTGAAATGGCTAATTATGTCGGAAATGTTAGATATTTTGTATACATGTCACCCTGGTAAAATACTAGCCGCTTCCTACCGTCTCGGCTAGGGAGAATTTCTCTTTATCTCATTCGGTAGAGCGTAAGACTAGTAAGCCAGAGGTCCCGGGTTCGACTCCTAGCGGAGGCATTGAAAAAATAATGACCTCTGTTACATACACATACCTTTGAGTATATTTAGCATAGATGAAAGAAATATTGTGACAAAATTCCGTGGTCATAGGGTCAAAGGTCACAGTAGCGGTGTTTGTCTTCTCCATCTTGCTGTCGGGACGACTTTTTCCTTTTCACGACTCTTGATCTTTCTCTATATTTTTTCACTCGTTTTTTTAGCAACAAGCAGCCGGAATGCGAGGGGTATTTATTACTTTTTATTGGCCCTAATAACCTTTTTGTGTTAAATGGCTATTATGAATCCAATAATAATGATATTAAAAATATTTTATAATTCGAAGTTTACTTACGTCGGAAAAAGGACCGGAAGTCCTTGTTAACTTGATCATGACGACTGGAACACACACCATTGATGACAATGACAACATTAGATCGAAAGCTTGAGCGGGTGGCGGGTTTGATTACGAAGATCCTAAATTATCCAGTCGTAACGACGTCATTTGCGATACGAGTAAAGCCTTGAAAACAAACAGAATGTGCACTGTACATTACAATTGAAATATAATAACTAGAATACAGTTAACGATCCCTGTCCCACGGTATTGTGGTTTTCATATACACAGTAACCTCCCTTTAACTTCCGTTTGGATGAAACATTTACGCAGTTGGTCAAGAGACCTCCGCACACTAGGTAGCTCAATCGGTTAGAGCAAAAGTACATCAATTTGAAGTCCAAGGTTCGAATCCCTGTCAAGCCTCGATGATTGTTGTTTTTTTTCATTCAAACCACTGTAGTTGAATAGAATTTATTCATTTCATATTTATTACTTTTCATTAAGTCCCGCAAGTATGATTTTCAAAAATGATTTATCAAAGCCATAGTCATGCCGGAAAAAATGTTCAGACACTTGGTTAGTCTTTGGCAGTGGTACTCCATTTAATGGAGGCACGTCCTGAAATGACATTTGCTGTTTATAGGACGTTAAATTAAATAAAACCAAAGCACCTTAATTGACTTTCGTTCGGACAATCAAATACGATGAGTATTTATACCGTCGTCAGTAGAGAAGTGATGAACTTCAAGCGCAACCACAATAATCTGTTGATAATAAAACCAAGCAGTACGTAGAGGACGTCATCAAATCTTTCAGCACCTGTGAACAGTCATATCATAAAATATATCAGCACCTGTTAACAGTCATGTCATCAAATCTATCAGCAGCTGTACACAGTAATGTTATCAAATTATGTGCACCTGTGAACAGCCATGTCATCAAATATATCAGCACAAATAAACAGTAATACCATCAAATATATCCGCACCTGTACACAGTGATGTCATCAAATCTATCGGCACAAATAAACAGTAATGTCATCAAATATGTCCGCACCTGTACACAGTAATGTCATCAAATCTATCGGCTCATGTAAATGGTCATGTCATCAAATCTATCGGCACAAATAAACAATAATGTCATCAAATATGTCAGCACCTGTACACAGTAATGTCATCAAATCTTTCGGCTCATGTAAATGGTCATGTCATCAAATCTATCGGTATAAACAAACAGTAATGTCATCAAATATGTCAGCACCTGTACACAGTAATGTCATCAAATCTATCTTTACATGTAAATGGCCATGTCATCAAATCTATTGGCACAAAAAAACAGTTGTGTCCTCAAATATATCAGCACCTGTAAATAGTAATGTCATCAAATCTATCGGCTCATGTAAATGGCCATGTCATCAAATCTATCGGCACAAATAAACAGTAATGTCATCAAATCTATCGGCACAAATAAACAGTAATGCCATCAAATCTATCGGCACAAATAAACAGTAATGCCATCAAATCTATCGGCACAAATAAACAGTAATGTCATCAAATATATCCGCACCTGTAAATAGTAATGTCAGCAAATATATCCGCACAAATAAACAGTAATGCCATCAAATATATCGGCACAAATAAACAGTAATTCCATCAAATATATTCGAACCTGTACACAGTGATGTCATCAAATCTATCGACACAAATAAACAGTAATTCCATCAAATATATTCGCACCTGTACACAGTGATGTCATCACATCTATCGGCACAAATAAACAGTAATGTCATCAAATCTATCAGCACCTGTACACAGTGATGTCATCAAGTATATCAGCACCTGTACACAGTAATGTCATCAAATATATCGGCTCATGTAAATGGTCATGTCATCAAATCTATCAGCACAAATAAACAGTAATGTCATCAAATATATCCGCACCTGTAAACAGTAATGTCATCAAATATATCCGCACAAATAAACAGTAATGCCATCAAATATATCGGCACAAATAAACAGTAATGTCATCAAATCTATCGGCACAAATAAACAATAATGTCATCAAATCTATCGACACAAATAAACAGTAATTCCATCAAATATATATTCGCACCTGTACACAGTGATGTCATCAAATATATCAGCACAAATAAACAGTAATGTCATCAAATCTATCAGCACCTGTACACAGTGATGTCATCAAATCTATCGGCACAAATAAACAGTAATGCCATCAAATCTATCGGCACAAA